TAGCAAATAAGATACTTAACTGGGGAAAGCTTGAAGGTTAACAGTAAACTTTAAAATACTTAAAAAATATTTCTGAAATGCTTAGGCAAATTGGCAAATGTGCCTTCATGTCTATGAATAAGAATATTTCCTGATACATCTGGAGAGAGAAATAATGTGTTATTCTTTTTACACAGATAACCAAGTTTTAAAAATGAGTTCTATCAAATCAATGACTTAATAAATAAGGATTTTCTTTAAAAAAGATCTTGATGTGAAGAACCAAAACAGAAGGCTTCCCCATACATCATGGTCTCAACAGTGATAAAAAAAGTGGGCCACAAACAGAAAATTTCACTTCTTCAATTTAACACATCTTCCTCTATATCAGTCCCATGAATGAATGCATGAGAATCATTTCCCTGGTCAGTGCAACACTGATTCTGGAGTGAGATATAAAAAGACTTTCCCATGTTCAGGGCTTTCTTTTTTTTTTTTTTTTAACATTTCCTTAATTCTCCCAAGTTCAAAAACTAACAGTAGAATCATGTATTGGCATGTATACATATATGTGGGGGGAGAAGGGGAATATGAAGATCCAATCTTGCATGAAAATCTTTACATTTAGTAGAGACTAATTCTAAGACCGCAGTGTTAATCTTTCCTGAGTCGTCAGGATCCTGCATGTGCTTATCATGTATCTTCCCAACTACATATGGCTCTGTGACAAATAGAAGAGGCTGCTAATGCTGCAATAGCTGAATGTCTCATTTAGGAACAAACAATTCTGGAAAAGCTCCCAGATTATGCATCTGTCCCTCTAGCTTCCACTTTAGAGGATAAAATTGGATGGTGATGACATGAGGATTAGTATATTATTCTTTCCCTCTGTGAGGAGTGTGGGGTTATTTCCCTCACCTTGACATGAGAGAAAAATATTTACTCAATGTCTCAGTAGAAAAATTTCAAGTGAGATAGAAAATGCTTACAAGAAAGTTGCGTTAGGAGTGGGCTTGCAGAATTACAGGCTCATTCCCTGGAGTCTGAATACAGAGATGATTAAGGCACTTTCTCTTCAAATCAGATTTCTTTGGTTTCTATTCCTGTTTTCCCCCCTTTCATTCCTTTCATTGACTCGTTTTCCTTCATGCAGTACAAATGGCAGCAAGAGTCTGTGAGTGCTTTAATATTGTGGGCTTGGCATTAAGGGAATTAAACAAAGGAGAAATCCCTAGGGAAACATCTTCCTGTTCTCTGTCTCCCAGCATCCTATTGACATGTGGCCCTCTGGTCCCAGCATGATGGTGGTAACTTTGGAAAAACTTTCTCTAGAGCAGTAGTGCCCACATACTTATCTGAGAGTAGGTACCAGTCAATTATAAAGTGTTAAGGGGTCCATGGTGAAATGCCAGGAGTACAACAATGTAATATGCTCTTCTGTAAGATATATCTTTTTTTTTTAATTTTGAAGTTAAGTCCTTCTTGTACTTAAAAAAGAATTTATGTATTATTTTAAAATTTTACGTGTAAAATTCATTCAAGTACAGCATACACAGAGAAAAGTATACAAATCACAAGTGCATAGCTTCATAAACTTTCTTAACAGAAACATATCAATGCAAACAACATCCAGATCAAGAGATTTGCCGTTGTTAATCACTACTCTTCACAACGGTAACCATATCTGACCTTTAACCCCCCAATATGCTCATTTTTTGAATTTTATATAAATGGACTCATATAATATGTATTCTTTTGCATCGGCTTCTTTCCTGTAGCGCTATCTTCCTATTTCTTATTTTCTGAAATATCACTGGTAATGGCATTTGATTTTTTTAAATGTCCTCACCCTGTTTTCCCCATTTTCTGACACTTCATTTTGCTCTAAAAATTCAGTATTGTAAGAATCACTACTACTCTTACTCTCGTGTCCTCTTTACATCAGATCTAAAGCTCAGAATCACCTTGAATTTAACTACTTACATGTATGGGTGAGCCATCCCAAAGTATCTGACTAAATGGGATTCCAAAGAGGAATAGTGATTTAAAAGAAAAAAATCACTTACTTGATGTCAGATAAGAACTGTGTTGCTACACAATAATGCCATCTTATGGCTGTACAGCAATGTGTAGCCTAGAAACCGTTTTCATTTTTATTATCTCATTTGAACTGTGCTATCCTCTTAGGCTTGGGGAGTAACTTCCTGAAAACGGGGCAAATTCATTAACCATTTGAGGAATAGTAAAGCTGGTATCAGAAAGAAAGTAAAGACAACAGAGTGGCACTCCTTAAGTGTTTGTTGAAAGAAAGAATGGACTATGTTTCTCTAAATACTAGGTGGGTCTTAGGTTAATTTTCACATGTTTCCTGTAGATATCTTTTAGAAGCAGTGAGTACCCACCAAGAATTAGATAAAAACAGAATTTAGCAGCAATGTTAAGTTCCCAAAAACTTAAATATTTGTTTTACATATTTGTATATCTATCCATATACATGGATCAGTACATAGATACACAGGATTCATGAATTAAATGTTCATTGTGTTTACTATTTGTGTTCCCACAGGGAAAAAGAGCCACTCTTAGTATTTTGGAGATTTGCAACTTTACTGAGACACATGATGAAATTCTGTTTGCAGGAAGACAAGGTATGAAAGCAGGTCTCTTAGATAATGAGTGAGCAGTCACAAATCAGTCTGGCTTTTAATTCTCTACTTGCCCTCACCTAAAAAGTAATGTCTGTTTTAATTTATGACATTTAATAAAGGTGAGTTTTGCCATTATAGCATTCATGAATTTGGTGATTAATGATGGTCTCAAAATCTATGCCTTAGGAATGCCAAGAGTCTAATGCATTTTCTCATATCTGTAACTTATTTTAAGTATACACTATGCAAACCTATTGGAGCTAAATATTTTGGTAAAATGGAAATATGCAGATGTGCTATTTAATATGTGTTTGGGTAAGTCATTTAACATCTTTGTAATTTAGTCTCCCCTGTAAAATAATGAAGCAGGACAAAATCATTAAAGTCATTTCTAGCTGTAAAATTTTATTTATTATTAATTATTAACTATCAACAATAGTTTGGATTATCGTTCCACAAATAGTCACCCTTCTTCTCCTTCCACTGTAGGAAGAGACTACTTTGCCACTCTATTGATGTCAGGCTTGCTCTGGCCAGTGGAATAGGAGTGAATTTAATGTGGGCCCAGGCCATAAGTGGCCCATAATACAAGCACAGGCCCACAAGGGAGGTTATGTCTCATCCATGGTGATCTGTCATGAGAAGACAATGGCACTGACCCTGCCTTTTAAGCTCAGGAAAAAGATAAACGTAGCCGACCTTAACCTGACACATATTCCAGAGTCTACCTCAGCTAACCCACAGCTTAAAATAGCTGCCCAGTTAAGCCCAGCCTCGGTCAGCCAAACCACAGGCAACTTAAAGACCCATGACCATGAAAATAAATGCTTGTTGTTTTAAGTCACTGGCTTCTGGTGTACAGCTTCATACCACCGTATTATGGTAATAGCTGACTAATACCCGGTCATAGATGAATCATGTATGAAAAAATACCAATATAGCCATTCTTACTGGCTCAAAGGTATTTTGGTAGAACAGAGTTTGGAGAGGTTGTAGGACAGCCAGGGACTGATAAACCATGAGGCTGAACAAAAGAACAAAGGTCATGTGAAGGCCTTATATGCCCAATTAAGGAATCTGGAGTTAATTCTAAGGAGAATGAGATAATGGTACTGAAGTTCTTACACTTTAGAAAAACAACTCTGGATGAAAGATAATTGGGAACAAAAGGAGGATGATCATTAGAATTAATGGGGATTTCTGCTATACGTATCAGTTTAGAAACCTACTATAGTAAATAAAGGACTAAAATAGAAGTAAGGATATTTAGAAATGGACAGAGTTAAGAGGGAGGTTCCCTGTAATTATTAAAAATGATTTTATTTTGAGAATAATAAAGAAGACTGTCTTGAGACTACAATCTTTATTTTTTATTTTTTTAAATTATGCTAAGTGAAATAAGTCAAGCAGAAAAAGTCAATTATCATATGGTTTCACTTATTTGTGGAACATAAGGAATAGCACGGAGGACATTAGGAGAAGGAAGGGAAAAATGAAGGGGAGGAATCAGAAGGAGAGACGAACCATGAGAGACTATGGACTCTGAGAAACAAACTGAGGGTTCTAGAGGGGAGGGGGGTGGGGGGATGGGTTAGCCCGGTGATGGGTATTAAAGAGGGCACGTACTGCGTGGAGCACTGGGTATTACATGAAAACAATGAATCATGGAAAACTACCTCAAAAACTAATGATGTACTGTATGGTGAGACTATAATCTTTAAAACAAATTGTTTTAAATAATTAGAACTCCATTACTTTTAACCTAAAATAGGAAAATAAAACAATATTCTACCTTCTTGTGGTGTGAAGCTAAAGAATATATGTGACTTTTTGAAAACGTGGTCACAAGCTATATATGTTAAATAAGGCAAACCCTGAAAAATTATTTTAAATCAACTTAAATTCTTCATAGCAAAAAAGAGTAGGGGGACTGCAAAATGTTATATATCACCTTCAAATTAGAAGTAGTAAGTAAAAATCAACTTTTTCCTGATAGCTTATATTTCAAACATTAATCTAATTATCAATCTGCTATAAATATATAGGACACAGATTTGACCAAAGATAAACATTTTATACTGTACAGTATTTAAGCCACCTCAATTAAATAACAAAACCTATTTGACATTATGTGAAATTTTAGAAGGTAATATAGTGCTCCAATGTAATGCTAACCCCAGTACAGAATAATTTCTAGAATTCAGCTCATTAGTCTGTTCACCATTATTTGTTCTCACTCCACTTACCTTTTTCCAATGATAGTAATACTTCTCCCTTTCTTCCTCCCTACCTTTCCACAGAGAACACTGAAATGAACTCCATGGTTCTCTGAAAACAGGTATAGTAATTTAGGAAAATAAAAGTGTTACCTACCCTTGTCGGTCCTTGTACATTTTGTTAACTCTTTCCCATTGGACATCGAGCCGTGAGAGAGCTTCCTGGAGCTTTGCCCTTTCTGCAGGGGTGGCACTGTGCAATGCTGCTGTCTTCTTTTTGTGAATGATGTCAATCCGACCTGAGATTTGTTGCAAGGTGTCTTTTATGTTCTGCAATATAGAAAATTTGAAATACATCAGAAATGAATCAGCTGTCTATGGAAAGAGAAAAAAAAAGGAAATTTATAAGCCTCAGAAATAAGAAATAGCCTTACAATTCTTTTTTTTAATATTTCAAGTTTTTATTTAAATTCTAGTTAGTTGACATATTATGTAATATTTGCTTTAAGAGTAGAATTTAGAGATTCATCAGTTGCATATAACACTCGGTGCTCACCACAGCAAGTGCCCTCCTTAATCCCCATCACCCATTTAGCTCACCCCCGACCCACCTCCCCTCCAACAACCCTCAGTTTGTTCTCTATAGTTAACAGTCTCTCTTTTTTTTTATTTTATTGTTATGTTAATCACCATACATTACATCATTAGTTTTTGATGTAGTGTTCCATGATTCATTGTTTGTGTATAACACCCAGTTCTCCATGCAGTACGTGCCCTCCTTAATACCCATCACCGAGCTAACCCCTCTCCCCTCTAAAACCCCCAGTTTGTTTATCGGAGTCCATAGTTTCCCATGGTTAATCTCCCCCTCCGATTCCCCCCCTTAATTTTTCCCTTACTGCTATCTTCTTCTTTTTTTTTTTAACATATAATTTCAGAGGTACAGGTCTGTGATTCAACAGTCTTACACAATTCACAGCGCTCACCATAGCACATACCCTCCCCAATGTCTATCACCCAGCCACCCCCATCCCTCCCACCCCCCACCACTCCAGCAACTCTCAGTTTGTTTCCTGAGATTAAGAAATGGTTTGCCTTCCTCTTTTCTTTTTTCTTTCCCCATGTTTGTTTCTTCCATATGTGAGTAAAATGATACGGTATCTGTCTTTCTCTGACTTATTTCACTTAGCATAATACCCTCTGGCTCCATCCACATCATTGAAAAATGGCAAGACTTCATTATTCTTTGTGGCTGAGTAGTATTACATTGTGTGTGTGTGTGTGTGTGTGTGTGTATACCACCTCTTCTTTATCCATTCATCAGTCGATGGACGTTTGGGCTCTTTCCATAATTTGGCTATTGTTGATCAGTCCTGCAATTCTTAATTACTGACTTATTAAAATCATCATCCCTGAATCCCAGTGATGTCAATATGTTCAGATTCAATGGGTAATTCACAGTCCTCATCTCAATATGGCTGATGACTCCCTCCATCTTAAAACTCTATCTTCATTTGGCTTCTATATCCTGAACTCTTCTGGTTTTTCTTCCACCTTCTTGTCCACTGCTCCCTCAGTCTTTACTGAATCCTGCCTGGACTGATCTCTTAGTACTGGAGTGCTCTAGCTTAGTTTTGACACTTCTTTCCTTCTCTCTCTATACTCCCTATTTGGTCCGATGACTCCAAATACTGTCCATACAGTGATGATTCCCAAACTTATATTTCCAGCCCTAACCTCAACTCACAAACCAGATTCACAAATTCAACTGCTTTCTTGACACTTGGATGTCCCATGGGCATCTCAAACTTAAACCAAATTCTGAACTGCATCCCCTTATCGCTCTCTTCCAGTGGTTTTCCCCATTTTAGTAAATGGCATATCAAATAATAGTTATTCAGGCTGACAACCTTAGAGTCACCCTTTACTTTTCTTTTTGAAGTATTCAAGTTGTTAGACAATGCTGTTGGCTTTACTTCCAGAACAAGTCCAGAATTTGACCACTTCTCATTACCTCCCTTGCTATAGCTTTGATATATTCCATCGTTATATCTCATCTGGATTATTGCAATGGCTACCTAAATGATCCCCCTGCTCCAGTCTTACCGCTCTCCTAGTCAATTCTCCATACAAGAGCCAAAAAGATTTTTTCAAAACAAATCAGGTCATATTTCTATTCTGTTCAAAATCCTCCAATGGCTTCTCATCAAGCCCATCATCTTTACTATGGCCTACAAAGTTCTAAATGACTTGGCTGTATGTTGGTTGTATGTTGTCTACCATTCTGATCTTATCTTTTCTTAGTCTCGGCTGAGTCCAGACATTTCAGCCTCATTAACCTTTCTGTGTTCCTCAAGAATGCCAAGCATTCTCTTGCTTCCAGGGTTCTTCTGTACTTGCTGTTCTCTCTCCCAAAAATATTCTTTCACTCCAAGACATTTATATGACTAGTTCCCTCACTTCTTTCTCATCTAAGAGCCTTCTCTACCACTCTATTTTAAATAGCAGCCCTAACTATTCTGTGTTCCCTGTATTCTTCATTTTTCTTCATGACATTTATGACTAACATTAAATTATATATCTACTAGTCTCTCTACACTACTAGACTAGACCCTATAAGTACAGGAAATGTTGTCTGTCTTACTCTCTATTGGGTTTTCAGAACTCAAACCTATGCCCGGCACATGGTAGATTACTCAATGCATTTTGTTGAATAAATGAATAAACTACTGTATCCTATAATTCTAAAATTTTTATCTATATTATATTTAAGGGAAAAAATCACAAACCACAAGTTCATTACGTAATACACATCTTTAATAATATTGATTTTCAAAAATGCTAAAAAGTATATATTTGGCCAGTCTTACTAGTATGAATTTGGTTATTTTGCTCATCTGAATTGTTATAGACAAGTCAATTGAGCAAACATTTATTGAGTTCTTCCATGTACCAGGATCAATAAAAAGGAAGCAAAGGTAGGTGAAGCACAGTTTTATTTGTTTGTTTTTAAGAAGTTTGAAATGGACCTTACTGTGGTAGTTAGAGAGGGTGTGGTTTGGAGAAATAATAGTGTAGAAGCCCCAACTAGATGACAAGAAAGAATTTGATGAGCATTCTAAGTCTATTCTTTTCCAGAAGTTCAAAGAAGGAATGAATCATATACCATATTTGGTCACGCACTGAGGAAAGAGCTCATGAAGGAAGTGCAGTTTGGAGTGTACATAGCTGAGTAAAGTGGGAAGGGCATTATGCTTACAAGATAGGGAAGATGAGCAGTCACATTTGGCTGACTTTTTGGAAATGTAGAGGGTTAGGAGAAGATGGGTCAGGAAACAGAGGCTAGAGATGTTTAAAAATGGGCTTTAGAGATTGTGAATGTAAGTCAGTAGCCAATGGGAAACCATGATTCATATAGTAATTGTGATGGAAAATTTCAAATACATACAAAAGCAAGAAAGGAGTGCAAATAGCCCCCTTGCACCTACTGTCTGGTTCCAATTCTTATAAAGTCATGGGCAACCTTGTTTCATTATACTCCCACACATTCACCTCCTCAAATTGATTATTTTGAAACAAACTAATATAATATTTTTTCCATGAATACTTCAGCCTGTTTCCAATATATATGAATGCTTTTCAAGGAAAGTGCACATAATACCATTATCCCACCTACAAAATTAAAAACAAAACCATCAATGTAATTAAGTATCCAGTTGGTATTCATATCTGAGTTGGACTGAGAAAGTTGGTTAGGAAGAAAACTTGGCAGAACTCAGTGACTGTGTATTGAGTGAAGAAGAGGAAAGACTCAAATTACTCCCAGGTTTCTGGCCTGGGATTCTGGATGAATAGTGGTGTCACTGAGTAAAAGGATTTCAGATGGATAAACAGGTTCTGTGTGTGTGTAAGTGATGAGTTCAGTTTTGCATATGATCATATTGAGAAGCCTTTGGAGCATCAGACTGTAGATATCCAATAGGCAGCTGGCATCAGATTTTGCAAAGAGAAATGAGATGGCGACTACTGTTGGGCCATACGTCTTTTCACATTTCTTTTCCTTTGGTCTCTTCCTCTCTCTTTTTTTAGAGAGAGAGAGAGAGTGCGTGCATGCAAGTTGGGGGAAGGTAGGGGCAGAAGGAGAGGGAGAAAAAGAATCTTAACTAGACTCCATGCCCAGCGTGGAGCCCAACCTGGGGCTTGATCTCACGACCCTGAGATCATGACCTGGGCCAAAATCCAGATCAGATGCTTAACTGTCTGAGCCACCCAGGTGCTCCTCTTTTCACATTTCTGCATGGTCTGAGCTTTCTGAGCAAAGAGCACTGGCATCTGGGTTAAAGGATGATTGAATAGCAAACATACCTTAGTGTTCAGACTAGTGCAATGCGCCGGAAAGACCTGGAAACACTTTTCCCAGATCTGTTTGCTTATGTGCCAATTTACAGTCTGAGGATAAGAGACCTAGACCCTTCCCTCTCTCTGGAGAGGATTTGTTTACCCCCTAGAGCAAAGGTCTCTGTTTCTGTCTCACTTGTTCTGTCAGATATGCCAGCTGCCTTGCATAAGCTCTGTTATCCATAAATTTGGGGACTCCCTCCCTTACTGCAAGCCCTGCATACACAGATAAATATGCGGTTCTCACTGCATTGTCCCATGTGGGTTTGGGGCATGTGCACTGGTGCTAAGATGCTCTTGAGTAATTAATGATGTGTTCTCTGAATCATACATCTTGGGTTTCCTGTCAGAATGGATAAATATAAATATAAAACCTTAATAAGTACCAATAAAAGGAATATTTTTTCCTACTTTCAGACAAAATTGGGGAGGATTTTAAGCATGTATGAAATGGAGACTAGGCCAGATAGTGAGGGGCTACTGCTGAGCCTGCAGCTTTCCAGGAGGCAGTCTCAAGCAAACTTTAAAAGTCACATAGGGCATCAGGAAAGAGGTTTTGGGTAGATCTTAGGAGGTTTTCCTGCCTCATTCTAAGACTTCATGGCTGTGGTGCATGAAGACCTGACTTGGTGGAGGAGAAGCTACAGAAGCAAGTGAGAATATAGAGAATATCAGTTGTAAGGGGTAAAAGTCAATGCTTCTGTTAGGACCCTTAAAAAAAGCAGCTCTGTTCCCAGGAAGAGACTGGGTAAAACACAATGGTTATGGGTGATATGAATGAATTTCAGAGAGAAAAAGAGAGAGAAAGAGACAGAGAGAGGGAGGGAAGGAGACTGTTTCTAAAATTCCAAGGTGTTCTCTTCAAGTCGGTATACACCTTACAATAGGGAAGCTTCATTTTTTTTTTTAAGCAACTCAATTGAAGTCTGTGG